TTTTACCAGCATCAAAAACATTTTATATTCAGATGCTATAATGTCGAACGATATGAACAATATTACAAATTCATATTCACGTACCTTTCCTGAATGTCCTGTGAAGTTCTGACAAAATGGCGTCTTCACTGTCGCTCATCTCCATTGTAAAAGCACACGGTGCACGCTCATGATCACGTGTTATCAAGTGGCCAAGTCAGGTGCATTGTTGCGTTTGTTTGCACGACTCCACGAGTACCCGAAAACACAACCACTAAAACACAGTCAATTAATCTGCAGTTGAAAACTTTTCGAACCTTAATTGTAGCTAGTTAAAGATAAGAATTTTTTTTATGGAATGCACTTCTTAAAGTTAAAACTACAAGTTATATTGCAAAGTTAAGATTCCATCCAAAGCACAAAACTAAAAATCATTCTCTGAAATGGTTTACCCAAATACAACGTGTGAAATGCATGGGAGCAGAGTCATGGCATGACTACTAAGCAAGATTCACGTGCAATGTCATGGCAACGCACAGGCCCACGCTGTTGATATCGACAACAGCTGCATTGTTTAGATAGGGGCTCCAAAAAGGAAATGTGTTGTGAAAATATATAATATTGACATAAATTACACTACTTGTAGTACTCGCCTACAAGTGAGGTGTAAATAGTTTATTGAGGAGGGCCTCACGAGCAAAAATGTAGGTGTATGGGCTGACACACCTCGGAAAGTATGGAAAGAACTATTACTTGGCATCAAGGGTAAGCAAGTCCTGCCCTACCAGTAGCACCTGCCATTTCCAAAATTTGCCTAAAAAAGGAAGTATTTTTGGCCTGACACTGTAACCAGCCATACAAGACAATCAAGTGATCGATGGCACGGAAAATCCAGTTATATAGTTTGGAACTATAAATACTGTGTAGAAGTACAGAGATTCCAGTGCTTATAAGTAAAGACAAATGTTTTGGGAAATAGATTTGTTTTACAACACATTGGGGGTCAGTATTAATGATGTTAAAGTTTAACTCACTAAGTATTAGGGACTCGGACCAAACATTGCTATTGTAGTTAACTCAGCATACTTAAATATTATACCGAACCTAAGGTGAATCTCGGGGGACTTCTGTCCACCAGGCAAAACATCAGTCCAATTGAATTTAATACAGAATATCAATCTTGACTACCCTGGGAAACAGATTCCATTTAGTTTATAGGGAAAAGGTGTGAGCCCCTGCTGGTATCCACCAAACTGTTATGGCTTGAATACTGTGAAAAAGCAAGATAAAACTTGAATACTGTGAAAAGCAAGATAACACTTGAATACTGTGAAAAGCAAGATAAAACTTGAATACTGTGAAAAGCAAGATAAGACTAAAACCATCCTCTCTCACGCAAGGACTCATCAATACAGATGATTGACACAGGTAACGGACGACTACACTCGGAAGACTTGTGTTTGTTGGACTAATGAGTGGGTATGGTTTTAAACAGCATATAACAATACTCCAACAAAGTCATGGAGGTTTTGCCAAGAAAGGCATTGTAGAAAATCAGAAGATATTTGCTAGATGTCAAAACATCATAATTAAGATGATAAAAAAGCGAGAATATTTAGGTGGAAATATCACATGCCTGCGTTTGATGATAGATGAAATCAGGAATATGTTTTGGTGACACCTTCTCTGTCAAGTGTCTTGAATCAGCTGTGATAGCACTGCACACACTCAGTTCCATTAAAAAAGGCATAATAATTGTCAGATGAGAAAGATGGAAGTAACTCACTGTTTTGAAAATAAAATCGGACATTCTGCCAGTAAGATTGGACCCAGAGAGAGTAGGCTGGGTGGAGACTGACAGCTGCCATATTGTGCTTCCAAAGTTGGTGACAACAGAATGACTGAAATTTTTCAACAGCGTTATATATACCAAGGGGTTGGTTTGCGTGTGAAAAATACAGACACGCGTAGGAGTTTAAGGAACGTCACTAGTGTATTATATACATAGACCATGCCACTTTTAGAAGGGATAGCCCATGTTTCCTTCATATTTATAGAAGTTGACTTGACATTCTTACTGAAATAGCACTTTACGCTGAGTCATTTTTTTCCGTTTATATAATTTTCAACCATATGAGTATGCTAGTATGGCACATATTTGATCAAACCATCAAGTACTGTGCTGCTCTGCTGTGGTCTTCACAAGCACTGGTATGATATTCTGCTGCCGTCATTCAAAGACCATGCAGGATTGGGAGAAAATCCTTTGTTTCAGACACAAAAATAATGTATTACTTAATGCCCAGGGCCCCGTTTCACAAAACTCTTGTAAGCCTAAGATCTCGTAACATTCCTCGTAGCATTCCTACCTCCTATACTGTAGCATAGGAGGTACGACGAATTCTATGATTAAAGTTACAAGATCTTGGGCTTACGAAACTTTGTGAAACGGGCCCAGTTCTATGGTAAACAGAAGTTTAAGAATATTTTTGGAGAATGTTTTTGAGGATAAGTAGACTTTGTAGACATCAGTTTATCATTAGAATGCGTTGTGTGTTCTGTCTGTGTAGTTGATACAAGTGTATTTCCAGTCTGACTATATTTTACCAGATTTCATGTACTATATATACTCTGCTGCGTCAACTGTCGGCACTACTCAGCACTGGGGAGGAGTTGTAGTTGTTTCTCTCAGTGTCTGCTGTAGGATTTTGTGACAATGTAGTTGCCATCATGTGTCAGTTCTGAATATTGCAGAACATTAGGATGACTCTGACATCATGAGGAATATGAGAAATCTGTTGATTAATAACTCATTAATTATAGGTGAACATGATGTAATATTTTTATCAGAAAACTGATCTAAAAGGTCACCAGGCACTTCAAGCCAAACATGTCTCTAATGTCCGGCTTAGACACCAGCACTGGGTTTTGGCCGTGTTTAGATGCGGTTCCCTTCCATTACAGTAGAAACCAGTCCTAATAGAAGACTGCCACCACTAAATGATGGAATTTGCCATTGGTATAATAATAGTACAAGAATTTATGGTGTCTGCACTGTTGGAGATGAGAAGCACTAATAAATATCAAGTCCTTTTTGTTTTGACTACTATCATGTACCCAACAAGAGTGAAACATTTAAATGCATTAAACAGATTGATAGTTTAGTAAACATTTTATCTGAAACATTGTCATTCACATCAGTCAGTCTCTCCTCCTCATACTGGCCATCAAACGTCAAATCCTCAGCATCGTGATCCCCCAATAGCACTTCCTCATGGAGTGTCTGCATCGGTTCCTACAGATGTTGAGCAAGAGGATCTTGGGTAGTCTAAAGATGTTCGATGAGGTTTATATCGTGGCTCCTTGTGGGCCATGGTAATGTTTTGATGAACATCTGATGACTAGCAAGGGGATGTTATCAAAATGTTTTAAGACAGGGCTATCCAGTACTTCTAGTAGATAACACTGACCAGTCAGCGTCCTCGGACTGTAATGAGATCCATCTTGCAATCATCACTGTGCCAGCACTAACAAGTTCAGCTGGGTGGATCATCTCCTGGTGATATGACTCGTTAGGATGTTTCCACACAATGACCATCCATGTAGAAGATAGTGTGTTTCATCAGACCAATGAACCCTCCCCCATGTCGGTTATCTTGGAGACTCACCCATGCCAAATGTTCCTCCTGTGTCTGTCTGTGAGGAAGGGACATCTGATTGGATGAAGTATCCTCAGACCAGCTGCCCACAGCCTGATGCTACTAGTTGGGACTCCAGCTTTCCATTGCCGGAGCTGTTCTTTGGCATGGGTCATGGGATTGCATCATGGCAAGATGAATCACATTCGCTGGTCATCCCAAGTCTTGTAGATGATCCTTTACTTCACTAGTGGCCACATGCCTCCTCACAAGGTGACTAATAACTGTGTGTTTGATGTTCAAGTTGGCACCAATGCTATGACAGACATCCCTGCGTAACACATGCTAATAATTTGCCATTGTTTAGTCTCTGAAAGTCTACGTCTTGCAATGTGATGAAAAGTTTATTTTTACACAGTCATCTTTTAATAGTGTTCAGGAAACTGTAGTGCACATATTGCAATTGTGAAGTTTTGTACCAGAATGTGCTTGGTGCCTTCATAGTACATGAATGTATGACCCATAGCTTTTGAGGTATTGTGTGAAGTGCCTGTTTTAAATGTCCATTCCAGTATGCTAGGCTATGATCGATGGAATGTTTGTAGCAAATAAAAACAATCTGTATTGGTTGGTGCTTAGTTAATGCTCAAGTGTATATATTGAAATTTGCCCACCGTGGAATTGACCAACCAATGATCAAATATTGATACAACTGCAGAGGTAAATATGCCCTCTTGAATCTGCCCTGAAAATAACACAATGTAGATTGAATGGTTAAGATAGAGACTGCGTAGTTACACTAAATGGGAATTGGGTGGTTATACTAAATTTGGAATGGGTGGTTACACTGAAATGTGGATTGGGTGGTTATACTTAACTGCACATTGTATATTTTTGATAAAATGCAGAATGTATGTTACAAAAAAAAGAGGATTCATAGGTGTTGCTAAAATGTGGATTGTGTGGTTATGCTAAAATGCGGATTGAAGAGCTAAACTATAATGAGGAAATTGATGATTCCATGAAAATGAGGTTTCACAGGTTAAATAACATTACGATTTGAGGGTTACATTAAATTGTGGATTGTGGTAACGGTAAAGTGAGTATGGGGTTGGCTGATCGTTGTCATGGTTTGTGAGTCATGGTGTCAGTACAGACCAAGCGTTGGCTCGTCACGCCAAGACCTGGGTTCGAATCCCCACATGGGCACAATGTGTGAAGCCCATTTCTGGTGTCCCCGGCGGTGATGTTGCTGGAATATTGCTAAAAGCGGCGTAAAACCAAACTCAGTCAGTCAGTACAGACCATCTTGATATGACTGGAATATTGATGTCTATGGTGTTGAACAACATCCATACCCTGACACGTATTGTTTTGTTTTAGAGCTGCGTGTCCTTAACCTGTGTACAAGATGCAGACTTCGCCCGGAGGGAGTAAAGTGTCGTCCAACACAAACTGGTTCACATCAGAGATACAACAGATGATGTGAGTACAACATATTGTAACATATCTCTCAGTACTAAATGTACCATGTTCACTGTAATCACTGCCCTGGGCTTAATTATAAGATAATATCTTACGCAAGTTAAAGCGTAAAGTTATTTTCAGAGATCCCAAGGTAGTGAACGAACGTTTGAATGTCAGTGTAACTAAAAGTGACAGTAGTTTTGTCAACCATAGAGTTAGTTTGACCTTTTTATAGTGAAAGGTCTGTTATGTGTAAAATAGACTTAACCGTTGGTCAAGTGCTGCTCTGTGGAGCCGAGTGGCTTATTACTGTGACTACTATATCTGTGTAGACAGTAGATACCTACCTTTCGTCCACCCTAAACTGTCAAAGAGTCGCTGATCTGTATCCCACTGACAGTCTATAGCCTAATGGGCAAGATCTGTATGTGGAGAGGCAATATATAGTATATTGGGCAATATCTTAATGTAGAGAGGCAACATATTGCATATTGGGCAATATCTTTATGTGGAGTGGCAATATATTATGTATTGGGCAATATCTTTATGTGGAGAGGCAATATATTATGTATTGGGCAAGATCTGTATGTGAAGAATTAATGTATTGCACACTGGGCGAGATCTGTATGTGGAGTGGCCACATATCATATTGGACAAGATCTGTATGTGGAGCGGCAATATGTTGCATATTGGGCAAGATCTGTATGTGGAGAGGCAATATGTTGCATATTGGGCAAGATCTGTATGTGGAGCGGCAGTACGTCACATATTGGACAAGATCTGTATGTGGAGAGGCAGTATGTCACATATCATATTGGACAAGATCTGTGTGTGGAATGCCAGTGTATTGCATTTTATGCAAGATGAGTATGTGGAAAGGCAATATATAGTGTACTGGGCAAGATCTGTTCGTGGAGTGCCAATATATAGTGTATTGGGCAAGATCTGTATATGAATGGGCATTATATTGCATATTGGACAAGATCTGTATATGTAGAGGCAATATATCTCATATTGGGAATGTATGTAGAATGCCAATGTATTGCACAGAGATTATTACACGAGCTAGTGTATCATATAACTTATACGAAAGAGTGTGCAAGTTTGTATTGTGAGAGCGAGGGCAATACATAATTTTGCACGAGTTTGGTATAAGTCATCTGACACACTTGCTTGAGTGTAATAATTTATTATTCATTTTATACATGTACATTTGTGCAGTAAATCACGGTAAATAAGTCTGACGGCCCTGTTAGTTGACATCGCGTTCAAATGTTTAATAATGTGACAGGCGATGAAATACAGACACAATGGTTGCTAGGCACAAGTGATATGTGCACATATGACATATGTGACACTGGTTATGTTTCACCATATGGATAATTATATGCAAAATCTGTATGTGGAGAGGCAATCCATTGCATATTGGGCAAGATCTGTGTATGGAGTGGCCCCCTTTAAGAGTCTTTCACGAAGGAATACAGGCCACTTCCACTGAAATAGTTTGATTGCTGTTTTGACCTCCCTCGGCACTCTGGTCAGTGTCTAAGGAGACCCTAACGTGGTTTGCATGAGCGGTATGTGACCAGTTTGACCACTGCATCAGGGGCAGGCTCTTCACAAGACCCTTGCTCTTTTTAATCACTTGTCAAGTGTCCATCTCAGGGCCCAGTGACAAAATTAGCAGGATTTTCATCCAATTTATGGTGATTTGCCTGCCCCGTGAGCCTGGGATTCTCTATTGTCGTCTGTTAAGCAGCATACAGATGTAAATGATGAGTATGATTGACAAAAACCTCACGATGAAAAAAAGGTTTGTGGAAGTAATGTAAAAATTGCCAGGCAGATGGTAGCCACTGTTGGCTTATCAAGGAGTATGGTGAAAATGTGGCCAACAGCAGTAGCTCAAACTCTCAACAGCTACTTGAACCTTGTGTGGAGCTCCGACAGCATGTCCCTCCATCTCAATATCCCCCTCCCCCATATTTCACCCCCTCCCCATTTCACCCTCTCCTCTGCACAATTCATATGAACTTGCTGGCTTTAACGTCTCTTATAAAACATGTCCCACTTAAAAATAGTATTATTTGGCCATCAGTTAGAAATTCATGATTGCATTTTCAATGATAAAGAGATTTTTTGGTGATACTTTTGTTTGTCCAAAAAGAAATTGTGCAGCTGGTTCATTGTGCTTGCTGCAGCATTTAGTGAATATGTTGATTTGAATCTGAGGTTGTCGCGAGTAGGGCTCACACTCAGTATTATCAGTACAGTATTGTGAGTCGTTTAATACTTGGTCGTCGTCGACAACACTCACTCCACTTGTGATGCAAACAGCACTGCTTGTGCCTAGTACCAAAGATCCATCAAGACCTTCCACTGGTTAGGTTGTTGGCCAGACTGTGGAATAGGAGGGACACCAAGACAGCTTCAGATGTCAATAGGGATTTTTTGACTCCTTCAAATTTTAAATAAATTTGTTTTTAAAGATTTTTTCCATGAGAAATATTTCATGAAATTGTTCTTGGTCTGCGAGCTCTGTATTTTATGTACTAGTTATAAGGTTTAGTGACAAGTCTTTCATACAGAGTACAGAACGTATGTTTAATGAAACAAGGACCTCCCAACTCATTCTCCTCTATTCTCCCATGGCCCACTCTCCTCCTCTTTCCAGCTAGAGAAATTACAAGGTTTGCGGGTTCCATAATATTAGCATGTTTCCTCATAGAATTATGTAAGAATTGTCTCCAGTATTTTATTTCCTTATTTCACCTCACAACATATCCAAAGAATACCAATGTTCTGATCCAGTTGTCATGTACTGTTATGTCAATGTTCTGATCTAGCTGTAATGTACTGTTATGTCATGTCAATGTTCTGATCCAGCTGTCCTGTACTGTCATGTCATGTCAATGTTCTGATCCAGCTGTCATGTACTGTCATGTCATGTCAATGTTCTGATCCAGCTGTCATGTACTGTCATGTCATGTCAGTGTTCTGATCCAGTTGTCATGTACTGTCATGTCAATGTTCTGATCCAGCTGTCATGTACTGTCATGTCATGTCAATGTTCTGATCCAGCTGTCCTGTACTGTCATGTCATGTCAATGTTCTGATCCAGCTATCATGTACTGTCATGTCAATGTTCTGATCCAGCTGTCGGGTACTGTCGTGTCAATCTTCTGATCCAGCTGTCATGTCAATGTTCTGATCCAGCTGTCCTGTACTGTCGTGTCAATCTTCTGATCCAGCTGTCATGTACTGTCATGTCAATGTTCTGATCCAGCTGTCAATGTACTGTCATGTCAATCTTCTGATCCAGCTGTCGGTGTACTGTCATGTCAATGTTCTGATCCAGCTGTCGGGTACTGTCATGTCAATGTTCTGATCCAGCTGTCATGTACTGTCATGTCAATGTTCTGATCCAGCTGTCGGGTACTGTCATGTCAATGTTCTGATCCAGCTGTCATGTACTGTCATGTCAATGTTCTGATCCAGCTGTCGGGTACTGTCATGTCAATGTTCTGATCCAGCTGTCATGTACTGTCATGTCAATGTTCTGATCCAGCTGTCGGGTACTGTCATGTCAATGTTCTGATCCAGCTGTTGGGTACTGTCATGTCAATGTTCTGATCCAGCTGTCATGTACTGTCATGTCAATGTTCTGATCCAGCTGTCGGGTACTGTCATGTCAATGTTCTGATCCAGCTGCCATGTACTGTCATGTCAGTGTTCTGATCCAGCTGTCGGGTACTGTCATGTCAATCTTCTGATCCAGCTGTCATGTACTGTCATGTCAATGTTCTGATCCAGCTGTCGGGTACTGTCATGTCAGTGCTACAGGATGGTATGGAACCACTGGGAAGTAATATCTGACACTTTGAATGTGGAATGAACCTTAAGTGAAAACTTGATTTTGACAGCGTTCAAGGAAGACTATTCCAGCAGAAGAGTTGAATAAATATTATAATTGGCATTACATATATGAAGAGTTGAATAAATATTATAATTGGCATTACATATATGAAGAGTTGAATAAATATTATAATTGGCATTACATATATGAAGAGTTGAATAAATATTATAATTGGCATTCCATATATGAAGAGTTGAATAAATATTATAATTGGCATTACATATATGAAGAGTTGAATAAATATTATAATTGGCATTACATATATGAAGAGTTGAATAAATATTATAATTGGCATTACATATATGAAGAGTTGAATAAATATTATAATTGGCATTACATATATGAAGAGTTGAATAAATATTATAATTGGCAATACATATATGAAGAGTTGACTAAATATTATAATTGGCATTACATATATGAAGAGTTGACTAAATATTATAATTGGCATTACATATATGAAGAGTTGAATAGAAGTTATGATTGTCATTACATATATAATTTTGGTGCTTTCTCAAAATATCAGTTATATGGTACATTTTCAATAAATTTAAAATCATTTTGTGTGAAACTTTCCTGTAACACTTTATTATTCACTAACACTCAGAAAGACTTCTTTATCTTCCAGCTGGATGGATATGTCAAAAGTCTGTGTGCCGATGTTTCTAATTGTATGAATTATGCATATACTAGCAATCTTTTTAGATCATTTCATATATACATCTATAAAATATTCTTTTAAGATTCAAATCTCCATATACATTTTACATACAAATATTCCTACTTATTGATAAAGTTATGGTATAATCTTTTTACATACAACACCTATTTATCTTGCAAATATTTTAAATGGAATCAGTTTTTTTCTTTCACAATGGAGTGTATAATTAAACATTGTTGAATGCCCGAAATAAACAGCATCCTCCTTGATGTGTGGTTAGATCAACACAGTGTGTGAGGGGAGGGCTTAGTACCGGGGAGGTGTGAGGTTTGAACAGCATAAACAGCCTCTCTATCATTACCTGGCTACGCAAAGACAGGCTACTATTGAAATCTTGTTACTTGGTTTCCACACATAGTTTGAGCCCTCTTTCAACCAATC